GAAGAATGGATAAGGAAAATGTGGTACATTTACACAATGGAGTACTACACAGCAGAAAAAATAACAGCAGCTTGAATTTTGCAGGCAAATGGATGGAGCTAGAAAACATCATATTGAGTGAGGTAACACAGACCCAGAAAGACAATTATCATAGGTACTCACTCATAGGTGGTTTTTAAACATAAAGCAAAGAAAACCAGCCTACAAACCACAATCCCAGAGAACTTAGACAACCACGAGGACACTAAGACTCACATAGATCTAACCTACATGGGAAGTAGAAAAAGACAAGATCTCCTGAGTAAACTGGGAGCATGGGGACCTTGGGGGAGGGTTGAGGGGGAAGGAGAGAGGCAGGGAGGGGAGCAGAGAAAAATGTAGAGCTCAATAAATATCATGGGGGAAAAAACTGGAAAAAAAATCCACTATGTTGCCCAGGTTGGCCTCAATTCTCCTACCTCAGACTTTCTTGAACTGGGATTATAAGCGTACCCAGTTTGAATTTCCATTTTAAATACATCTCAAATATAGCAGTTCCAGGCCAGTCAAAGCTACAGAGCAAGACCTTATCTCAAGAAGAAACAAAACAAAATTTAAAAAAATTAAGTGATTTTCAAATGTTCATTTGTTTGGCTCTTCTGTTTTCCAAGCTGAGTGTTCCTTCTCTCTTCTTAGACTGCTGTAGTATCCAACTCCCTACACCCACCCCCGAAACTTCCCACACACCTGCCTTACCCCTCCTGGATCCAGGTCCATTCATTCTTTTATCTCTAGCTCAGCCTTCATAATACACTTAACTAAGCTAAGGAACTCTGGAACCCCTTCCTCACAGCCATCCTTGCCTGAGCCCTAGAGAAGACTGATATCTAAGGTTTTTGCCTAGCACAGAGGCTCCTAGTACCTTTGGGGTCAGGTTTCCACAAAGTCTGGAACAAGAGAGACAACCAAGAAAGAATCAAAGTGCCCCTCCATCAGTATCACATCAAGAAGCATTGGCATTCGAGTATGTCTTTCTACCACGTGATAGTGTGGGAGCTGAGACAGGTGACTTATGAGTTCAAGGTCAACCTGGACCGGTGGCGAGTTTAAATCCAACCTGGACTACTTAGCAAGTTTGAGGTCAGCTTGGGCTACATGAGAACATGTCTTGATGCTGCTCCCCTCAAAACAATGTTTCCTTCTATTTCTGTTCATCCATTCATTCAACAAACATATTGAGTACCTGCTCTAACTCGTGTGCTTGTGCATGTATGGGGTGTGTATGTTTGTACGTTTGTGAAGCTACAGGAAAACCCTCTCTCTACCCACCTTACTCCTTTGACACAAGGTCTCTCAATGAACCTGGAGTCTGACATTTTTCAGCTTCGCTGGCTGGCCAGCAAGCCCCAGAGATTCTCCGCTCCTTCAGCCCCATCCCCCAGCACCAGGGTTACAGGCTCACGTAGCCAC